GTCACTGAACTTTAAAAATCACCTAAATAGTCACTGAACTTTGCAAAAGGTTTCTCAGAAATCACTGAACTTTAAAAATCGCCTAAATGGTCACTGAACTTTACAAAAACTTTTCCAGAAGTCACTGAACTTTCCAACTTCAAACCACCTTAGAGCTACCACTTATGGACCACCTAAACCCACCCTCCGGCCACCTTGGCCAACGGACCGACATACCACCTTGAAGCTCTTGCTTCCCTCTTCGCAACCCACCCAAGTTTCGGCCATAACACCAACCGATTTGACCAAAAATTGAAGTCAAAATGGGCTAATCAAGCATAAAAAATTGCCAGAAAGTGAACAAGTCACCACTCACCACTTTTGGACCACCAAAACTCCACCCTTCGGCCACCTTGGCCGCCGGACCAACATACCACCTTGAAGCCCTCATTTTCCTTTTCGCAACCCACCCAAGCTCCGACCACAACCCCAACCGTTGTGGCCAGAAATTCAAGCCAAAATGGGCAGCTTGGCACAAAAAATGGCCAGAATTTCATTTTTTTTTTGTTCCAGATCGCCCATTTTGGCTTGGATTTTCGGTCAAACCGATTGGTGTTATGGCCGGATCTTGGGTGGGTTGCGAAGAGGGAAATGAGGGCTTCAAGGTGGTATTTCGGTCTGACGGCTAAGGTGGCCGGAGGGTGGGTTTAGGTGGTCCATAAGTGGTGGCTCCAAGGTGGTTTGAAGTTGAAAAGTTCAGTGACTTCTGGGAAAACTTTTGTAAAGTTCAGTGATCATTTAGGTGATTTTTAAAGTTCAGTGACTTCTAGGAAACCTTTTGCAAAGTTCAGTGACTTCTGAGAAACCTTTTTCAAAGTTCAGTGACTATTTAAGTAATTTTTAAAGTTAAGTGACCCCTTGGAAACCTCTTGGAAAGTTCAGTGACCATTTAGGCAATTCACTCCAATTTTACTATGCATGATGTCATTTTTTATTTTTCATTTTGTTTATGTCAAACAAATGTTCTTCCACACATCATCCCACTAACATTAAAAAAATTATGTCAACCAAATGTTTTTCTACACATCATGCCACTAGCATTAAAAAAATAATAATAATTTTAGTAAAAATAAACTGCTATGAGAAAAAAAACACTTCGCACATGTGCTTTAAAAAAAAAAAAAACTCTCCGCACAGTGCAGAGAGATGGAAAACTACGTGTGGAGTAAAAAAGGAAGAAAAACTATCCACATAGTGTGGAGAGATGACAAACTATATACGGATAGTTGGTGAACTCTCAGTACAACGCGAAGTAAAAAAAAACTCTCTGTACAGTACGAAAAGGTGACATTCTGTGCGGACAGTCAACACAATCTGTGAGGACACTGTCCTCACAAAGTGCTGACTCTCCGTACAGTGCGGAGTAAAAAAAGAAAAAAAAAAAACTTCGCACATGTGCAGAGAGTTTGCCAACTCTCCGTACAGTGCGAAGTTAAAAAAGAAAAAAAAAACCTCTCTGCACAGTAACTGTCACGTGCATTTATCGTATTTTTATTAGTGTATAAATTTTAGTTTTTTGAAAAATTTTTGAAGCAATATTTAGAAATATTTTCATGATATAAGAAAATAATTGTAAATTACTTTTACAATTGCATAACAGTATTATGCCATCTAGAAAAAATATACTTTTATATTTCATACTTGAATAAGAAATATACGAGATTATACAAATTATTTTGCTTGTATTCTTTAATAGTATTGATATGATTGAGTTGAATGTAAAGATTATATTTTCAAATTTTGTGTAATTCAATATTGAAAAATTGAAGATTAAACACCATATTCATATGCATTTATATTTTGTGATTCATAGATATTTAATATTTATTTTATATTTATGTTGAAAAAATAAAAATCTAGAAATTTTTTTGAAATTCTGTTTGGTAAGTGAATGTATGGTGTTTTGTATTCTCGGTATTTGTAAGTGCAAAAATCGATATATAAAAATACAGTAAGCTGCAAATACGGTAGACAGCATATACAGTAAGTTGTAAAATACGGTAAGGTGAAAATACGGTAAGTTGTTTGTAAATACGGTAGGCTGAAAATACGGTAAGTTGCAAATACGATAGGGTGCAAATACGGTAAGCTGCAAATACGATAAACAGCATATACGGTAAGCTGTATATACGGTAAATTACTTGTAAATACGGTAAACTGCATATATAGATTTATAATTTGTTATAAATGTATAAAATTTATTTAATATTAAATTTCTTAAGTATTAAATATTGTAATTCAATATTGTTTCCTTTTTTATTATTGTATTTCCGAGAATTACAAAACAAAAAGTGGTTATGAAATTGCTAATTTTTAAATGTATTTTTTTGTTAAAAGTAAAAATGATTTTTTTTATATTATTTGTAAAAAAAAATTATTGTAATTTTATTAGCGTAATAAGAAGATTTATTATGCATTTTTATTTTTTACATTTTGTGAAGAATTTTGTTTATGGTGATTGACAAATATTCTTCCCTACACGCATTATGCCAACAACATTAAAAAAATAATAATAATTTTAGTAAAAATAAACTGCTATGAGAAAAAAAA